AGCAATCCAGCGATCCACGTTCAAAGCCACTTTGCTGGCATCCTCGCCAACAGCTTCCCCAGACCCCCAGAAACAGAGCGCACTGAGGCAGGACTCCTCTCTCACGCCTCCCCCTGCTGCAAGCAGGTCTGGCATACATGAGGTACAGGAAATTTCGACTCCACAATGTGTAAGTTGTTGGACTTTTACAGTTCTCTATCAACAGGACGTAATCTACAGCTCAAACAGAAAGCCAAAACGTTTACCGTCTTGGGAGATCCCTTTGTGTCACGGTGGCGCTGAGGAGAGGGGTCACGGGGGCTCCTTGACCTGTGCTGGTCCTTCCCTGCTGGCAGAGTCCGTCGCGGAGGAGATAAATCTGAGTCTGAAGACTTGCTCTGATTCTGCCCGAGAGGACCACGCTGAGGGGAATGGCTGCGCACGCGGCCCAGCCTGCGGTCTGCATCAGAGGCGCCCCGGGCTCCCTTCTGTGGAGGTGGAGACTCGGAGTCGTGTCTCAGCTTTTTCGTGTCTGGAGAAGCACCTGCAGGAAAGACACAGACTACCTAAAAATCACAGAATTACACCCAGTTAGTCCCCAAAAGGGCTAAACCTGGTGGTGCATGAGGTTAAACTCTTCGAAAAATTGTCACCTCAGGAGATGACAAGCTGGAGGGAAAAGGCAAGTATGTGACAAGAGCCTGGGAGTGCTGTTACTTCTGAACATGTCCTGCCTGGAGGCAGGGTTTGAACTCCACCTTTCTTTCAGACACGTTCAAGCCTTACCCAGAATTAACTCTTAGGTTAATTCTAGTCCAGCAGATGAAAAATCTGGACTACAAGAACCAGCTGCACCACCAGAAATGACAACCTGCTGCCATGCCACGACTGCGAGCTACCAATTCCAGACTGCTCGCCTCTCAGGAGCATCCAAACACGATCACAGAGCAGGCAGCCAGCGAAGCAGTGGACAGACAGCACCAACCCTTACTCACACTCACCTTTGGTTCTGCTTGGCTTCTTCAGACTGGGTGACCCATTCTTCTTTCTCCGAGGCGGTGACAAATCCGAGTCTGAATCGTACCTCTTCTTCCGTGGAGGGGACAGATCCGCCACAGCCTGACGCTTCTGACGCGACGAGGACTTGTCAGAGACGCCGTGCCTGAGCTGAGGTTGCCCTCCTTGGACTCCCGACAGCGACCTGTCTGTGGCTTTGGAGCCCTTCTTCCCCACTGCGGAACTGACTCTTTTTGGAGAGGCGTCAGGGGAGTCGTGCCACCGTCGTCGAGGAGGGGACAAGTCCGGAGAGTCGTGGCGCTGACGCCGGGGAGGTGACAGATCTGGGGAGTCATGGCGCTTCTGTCTTGGGGGTGACAGATCTGGGGAGTCGTGGCGCCTCCGTTTTGGGGGAGAGAGGTCAGGAGAGTCATGACGCTGTCGACGGGGAGGTGACAGGTCCGGGGAGTCGTGGCGCTTCTGTCTTGGGGGTGACAGGTCCGGGGAGTCGTGGCGCCTCCGTTTCGGGGGAGAGAGGTCTGGGGAGTCGTGGCGCTGCCGCCTTGGAGGGGACTTCTCAGGGGAATCGTGCCGCAGCCTCCTTGGGGGCGAGCTGTCTGGGGAGTCGTGGCGCTGCCGCCTGGGAGGGGAGGAGAAA